TTCTTGAAGTTTTCCAAGCAGTGTAGCGGATGTCATCGTGGATAGACTTTTCTTTTCAGAAATTGTTCTCACCTTGGGCTACCATTCTATGGACAAGGATCTAAGCACTTTAATATTTAATTCATCGTTAGTTAATGTCTTACTGAGTGCTTTGAGATGATTTTTCAAGTGCACAAATCTTTTCTGCAGATCAAGAATTGATTCTCCTGGCTGCATTCTGAATAGCTCGTATTCTTGACTCAATGTGTTCAATCTCAATCTTTTAAATTCAGCGGTTCCTTCATGGGTTTCCACTAAAGTATCCCAGATTTTTTTTTGCTGATGTACATGTTGAGACGCGAAAGAATTCGTCCATGCTTAGTGCACTTTGTAGAAGATTAATTGCCTTTTTGTCATAAATAACCTTTTTCTTATCATCTTCATCCCATGAGCCTTTAGGTTTTGTTGATCCAACACTATTAATGATCGTTGTAGGAACGAAGGGACCATTTTGGACAACATCCCATATTTCATCTCCTTGTGCTTCTAAGTGAGCCTTCATGTGAATCTTCCAGAAGTTAAAGTATTCACCACAAAACAATAGAGGCTTGCTGCTACTACCACCGTCTTTAAACACACCTTTGTTGTTTGCGGAAGCCATACTGGATCGAATATGAACAGGTTACCTAAACCTGCTCTGATACCAATTAATAGTCAGAGTTGCACCTAAGAGGGACGGGGTGAATTAGGTTATTTGAAATTTTCTGGTTTTATCGACTGAGTTATTACTTTCTTGAGATATGATGAGGTTATGAAAGAAGTAAAGTGCAAAAAGTAAATAACACAGAGAAGTATCTTGGTTCCCTTCACACTCCGAAGGTACTCCAGTCCCCTTTCACACGAAAGAGATTTCACTATAGTTAGGATCAGTGTACAATACTTTCTAATCTATAGGTAGATCAAAGGCTCTTAAACACCTGTAAGATCTAAATACTAAGTGCAAGAAGAACAATCCTCTTCAATGCACACACTTTCTTTCAACAATCCTAAACAGCAAGGGGAAATAAATTTAATCTGATTTTTACAATGAGTTGGTAACAGTGTATACAATTTTGTGATTGATCTTCTCTTTCAATGAGAATTTCCACAAATATCTAAGACTTATTGCTCAAGAAATTTCTTTCAAAGGATATGAAAATATGCAGAAAATTCTTTATGAAAAATGGTTTGAACTTAGATGTGGAAAGATGAAAAATATGTTAAAGATTTTTGAAAGAGGATTGAAAGAGATGTGTTTGAAAATTTGAAAGATTAGGTATTTATATTACACAAACACCTCTTGAAAAAATATTCAAATCCTCAGAAAAATTGATGAAGAATTGCCATGTTTCAATGGAAACATTTCACAGAAGATTGGTTGAAGAGATGCAATTTTTCAGAATGATTTTTCAAAAACGTTAAGGGAGCAATCGATTGCACATATAGACCAATCGATTTCACCTTCACAAAAACACTTGAAATTTGAATTTTTCAACAGAGCAATCGATTGCACCAAAGCAACAATTGATTGTACTAAGAAACAGAAGCAAAAATACAAAGATTTTTAAGTATGCAATCGATTGCACCAAAGCACCAATCGATTGCACTAAGAAACAGAAGCAAAACAGAAGTAAAATTTTGATCATGCAATCAATTGCACTTACAAAAACTTAGAAAAATTATGATTTAAAAAGCTTGTGTTAGTGCGAAAAAATAATGCAAATAGTTTTTCATGGTTTGAGCAACTAGGTCTTAAATACTCGATAAAGATTTTCATTATACCTTCTGATGAAAACATTCTTCATGTCAAGTCTTTGTCGTGATACTGATGTTTTGAAAATGGTTGAACATCTTTGCGTTCTTGTCAAGTGGTTTGTCTTCATTAAAACATAAGTTGATCCTTGCAAATTTTGATTTCACACTAGTATCAATTATAGCAATCAAAGGTGTATATTAATGAAGCACGTACTTCTGATTAATTGGTCTTCACTAGCAGTCTCAGATCCTGATAGAGCAAACACCTTCCCTTTAGCTTGAGCCTTCTTCGGTTTATCACGCTTGGTACTAATGTGCCCTTGCTCACCACAGTTGTAACAAGTCACATCCGCACCACTCTTGCACTCAAAAGCCTTGTGGCCTGGCTTACCACACTTGAAACATTTTAGTTCAACACTTGTGTACTCTGGGACACGATGTCCTTCAACACCACACTTATAACATTTAACTGGAGTAGAAGGTCCTCCCCCACCCGACTTCTTGTCATAACCAGCTTTATATGTCCCTTTATCAGTAGGAGTCACATATGGCTTCCCTCTGAATGGGTTATTTCCCTTCTTCTCATTCAAACTCTTGTAGTGAGTAGGCCGAGCTCTACTATCTTCATCATAGATCCTACTCTTGTTAACCAACTCAGAAAATCATATAATTTCCTTATAACCAATGGCTTGCTTGATCTCAGACCACAAACCATTCACAAACTTAAGACATTTGGAACTCTGAACATTAGCAGTGTTATAATGAGGACAAAACTTAATCAACTCCTCAAATCTTGCTGCATACTCGGCCACAGTTGAGAAGTCTTGGCGAGCACCCTAATAAAAAAAGCCAATCATTTCCCTCTAGCAAGTAACCCTTAGAGAACGACACCCTTTCGTGCTTAGACAAATTAGATGATTCTCATCGAGTACGATGGATGCAAGGGGTGCTAATACATTCCCCTTGTATAACCGACTTCCGAATCCGACATAGTTGCGATGACCATATCTTTTTCCTTCCTTTTAGGGATTTTACCGATATTTTCTCTTTCCCTCATTGGAAATAAATATTGTTCGATGGCGACGCTGTTAGTTCATCCGCAAGCGGGCGATGACGCTTCGCAAGGTCGTGTTTTCATTTTCTGAGGTACGACATATCCCATATTTATTTTGTCATTGTACATTGAGAGACACAAAGTAATTCATCCATGCTAAGTGCATTTTGAAGTAAATTGATTGCTTTTTTGTCATAGAGGACTTTTTCTTATCATCTTCATCCCATGAACTTTTTATCTTTGTCATCCCAACACCGTAAACAACACTTTTTGGAACAATCAGACCATTTTGTACAACATCCCATATTTCTTCTCCTTGAGCTTCTAAATGAGCCTTCATGTGAATTTTTCAATAATTAAAGTATTTACCACAAAACAATTGAGGCTTATTATTGCTACCACCGTCTCTGAAAATTAGATTTTTGGAAGCCATTATGAATCTTTTAGAAATATGTTACCTTAACTTGCTCTGATGCCAATTGTAAGAATAAAGCGCACCAAAGTGAATGAGGGGTGAGTTTGGTACGTTGAAATTTTCTGGTTTTAGTGGAGTGTGGTGTTATTTTACTAGTTTGATGATATGTTATGAAAGTTGTAAAACGCAGAAAAGTAAAGAACATTGAAGGATTTTACTAGTTTCCCTCACAATTCGAGAGTACGTCTAATACCCTTACGAAACTGTAAGAGATTTCACTATACTCAGAACTTTGTATAACCTATACACAAGCTTCTAGCTAAATCACCAAGGCGCACCACCTTGTGATTTTACAAAACAGAAAAATAAAACAATCCTCTTTTTTTTAACTCACTTATTTTCAACAATTCTTGACAACACGGTACTGCAATTTTTATAATAACAACAATCTTGAGTTTTGAATGATAAAAATAGTTGAGTCTAGATCTCAACAAAATAGTTGTTTTTCCCTTTTCCAATAACAATTTTGAATCAACAAAATATATCTTAAATGCTCATAGGGGAAACTTCTATATGATGTGAAAATTTATGAAAAATACATAAATTTCTTGTTTTAACAGAAATTTAAACACTTTGAAAATTTTATTAGGAAAAGAGGTAATTTTATAATCTAAAAGTTATACTATTTATAATGATCATGCACTTCTTAATTTTTTCAAAAGCAATTATTAAAGAATATCTTATGAATAATTATCATGGTTAACTATGTATTTGAATTCTTCGCGCTTATCTTTTACATAGTGAAACGATTATAACAACTAATTATTTAATAGGCGTGTGATGCAAAAATTTGTTAAATGTATCTTAAATTTAGATTGTTGTACTCTTCCATAGAGTGATTTCTATACACCATGAGTAATTTAGATGAATTATAATTCTATGAAGTTGTGCGTCGATGGTTATTCTGATCGGCTCGAAATATTATCTCTTTTTTGCAAGATATTGATTAGTACTACACATAGTGACAAACATAATAATGCGGACTCGAATTTTGAATAATACACACTAATGCATGTATTTAATTAGTTTATAATAAGTCATGCCAATCCAAAACAAAAATTGTGTACTTGAATTCTTCGCGCTTATTTTTACATAGTGAACCGATTATGACAACTCACTATTTAATAGGTGTGTAATGCGAAAAAATGTTCCCTTATTTTTACATAGTGAAACGATTATGACAACTCACTATTTAATAGATGTGTGATGCAAAAAATTGTTCAATGTATCTTAAATTTAAATTGTTGTACTCTTCCATAGAGTGATTTCTACACACCATGAGTGATTTCTATACACCATGAATACTTCAGAAGACTCATAATTCCCTAAAGTGATGCGTCGATGGTAATTCCGATAGACCCGAAATATATTTTTTTTTGGGAAGATATTGATTAGTACTACACAAGTAACTAATCATTAATAATGTTGTGGAGTCGAATTTTAAATAATACGCACTAATGCATGTATTGTGATTAGTTTATAGATATGTAATGTCAATCCAAAACAAAACATTTAAATACTCCCACCATCTCTAACTATAGGATATTTTCCATTTTTATTTATTGAGTGAGAGTTTTACACGGAGTTTCTATGTTATTTTATCTCTAGAGTGCTAGTGTTAGCATTAGATACAAAAATTGATTAATCATCACAAGAATTCACCAACCACTCACCTCTCACCAACCCATTTCTCCGGCAATGAGTTTCACCCGCGACAGCGGCAAAGTTTGCCACGTTTTAGCTATGCCGTTTCCGGGAAGAGGACACATCAACCCCATGCTAAGCTTATGTAAGATCCTAGCATCACGAAGACCAGACGAAATTCTCATAACCTTCGTAATAACCGAAGAGTGGCTCGGCTATATCGGCGCCGATCCAAAGCCGGAAGCCATCCGCTTCGCTACTATTCCCAACGTGATTCCATCGGAGCGCGAGAAAGCAGGTGATTTTCCAGGTTTCTATGAAGCCACCATGACGAAGATGGAAGCGCCGTTTGAGCGGCTTCTTGATCAGCTTGTACCTCCGGTGGATGTGATAATTGGTGACGTTGAGCTGCGGTGGCCTGTTGCTGTTTCTAATCGGAGGAATATTCCGGTGGCTGCGTTTTGGACTATGTCGGCGTCGTTTTACTCTATGTTACATCACCTTGATGTCTTCTCACGTGACCGACACTTAACAATTGGGACACTTGGTAATTGCTCATTTTTACATTTCTTTTTAATTTTAGTTCCAAATTTATTAAGTTATAGGATGAGTATTGTTTTATATAAATTTCTAGGAAGTAAACTTTTTTAGGAAAAGAAATGAAACATTAATCGATGAAACAAGTCAATTGTAGGTCAAACATCAACTATGTTACTCATAAGCTATAAAAGTCTTATTTATTTTGTGTATGCTTACTAAGAAAGTGATTAGATAAAAATGATTTTAATGAAAAAGCATGTTTTATTTATTAAAATATCGGTTGGATTGGTGTTCCGAATTAATTGGTCATAAGGCTGTATATCATTTTGAAACAAAATATGAGAATATTGAGATTGTAATCGAAAAGTAATTAGGTGGATTAAGATATAATAAATAAAAGTACAGTAGTATAAAAAATCAACTAATTTAGCAAATGAGATTTTTATTTTTAATGAGGGGCATCCAGTATTCGAGGTATAGTGTTAGAGCATCCACACTCATCAACCACGTTTTAGTTCTTTAAATGGGATCCACATAATTTTTTATATTATATTACACTTTTAAATTATTTAAACAACACAATTATATTTTCTAAATATCCATACAACTCATCAAATTTGTAAAATGGATTCTACTAAATATCACAATATATCTTATATTAAATTTTTTTACAATCATTTACAATTAAATAATTAATTAAATGCACATGTGGCACTTGTAGGAACGCTGTTTAATGTGATAACCGTTGCAAACTAAATAACTGTGTTATTATGCAATTATCCATCATTTTCTGACACAGTCATTTTGATAATAGTGTAGGAACTATATATTTGGACTGATAATTATGCTCTTAGTTTTCACTTTTAAGTCATAGTTTTTAATATTTTTAACAATTTGATTTTGCTAAGCCAACAATAATGTTAAATGTGTCAAAATAATATGTGTTTGACAAGAGTCGAATCTCTATTAATTGTATTTAATAAAAAGTCAAATATAGTTTGTCAAAGTATGTAAATGTTGAAAGAATCAATCTCGATCGACATAGTCCAAGAAGGCTGACCTATCTCAATTTTAATTGAGTTAGTTATTTTAGTGATTACTTAGAGTACAAGTAATCTCATTTATACATAGAGAGGAACTTTATTTCATTTGTAAGAAGTTTGAAAGAAGTTTTGTAGTAGCATTGTGTAGCTTTCAGAAACCACAACTATGATTAACACACAATGACAAACACTTTGAGTGCAGTTTGCATAGAAATACAATCTTATTCTTCTTCCAAAAAAATTTCTTTTCTCTCATTTTCAATTGTCTCGTTTTCTTCTTTCAATTCTATGTGTACTGTAGAATCATCTTGCAACCAATGAGTGGTTGTTTTACTTGAGTAAATGGTGAAGAACAAGAGGTGTGGTTAATCAGAAAAATTAATTATTGTTCATCAAGATTTATTCGGTTAACTTCAAGATTGGAGTTTTTGTATCTAAAGCACTAACTTGTGATACATGGGACGCATTGAATCATGCTGAATAATCCGAACGAGCATTTTTCAGCGGATCTTTCAATCTTAAATGGTAAGAGTTATGAAAATTTGTGTAAGTAGATGAAAGTTTTTTCTATTATTAAGATCTTTTGGATCCTGTGAAGAATGAAGTAACACCAATTAGAAAGAATGTTACGGATGAACAAAAGGTTGCGCACAAAGAAAAGATTTGAAGAAGAAACATTATAAGACTCTCTTTTTATTCTATCAATGTGTTGATCTAACAACTTTAAGAAAGTTGGTGATGTAGATTCAGTAAAGGAAGCATGAGATATTATGAAGAAATCATTTGGAGGCACTGAGAAGGTGAAAGAAGTGAAGTTACAAACTCATAAAAGAACGTATGAATTGCTTCAGATGGAAGAAAGTGGAAGCCTAGTTGATTTCTCACTAGGGTAGCAATACTGGTGAATCAAATCAAGATGTGTGGAGAAGTGTTGACTTCAAAATTTGTTGTTTCAAAGATCTTGAGGTCATTACATCCAAAGTTCGACCATGTGGTAATAGTCATAGAAGAATCAAAGATTTGTCAAGTATGACAAAAGAAAAGCTTGAATCTCACGAACAAAGAATGGCTGAAAGATCTGCAAGTAAGACAAAGGGTGATGTAGCTCTATATGTGCATTCAACAAAAGAAAAGAAAGATAAATGGAATGGAATGGGTTTAGGCCAATCAAAAATCCATATTCCAAAAGAAGTATGTGAAGAATGTGTTCAAGCAAAGCAACACAAGTATATCTTCAACAAGGGTGCAAGAAGCAAGTCAAAAGCCACTCTTAAGATAATTTACTCAAACGTGTGTGTTCCTTTCTAGGTATAATCACTTGGAGGTAACAAGTACTTTGTTACATATATTGATGATTACATCAGAAAGTCGTGGACCTACTTAATCAAGAAGAAAAGTGTTGTGATCGATGTCTTCGCCAAGTTTAAAGCAATGGTGGAAAAATAGAGTGGTCACAAGATTAAGGTATCACACCAGAAGAATGTTCGTCTAATGTTAAACCTAGCTTAAGCCACTTGACGGTGTTTGGGTCCATAGCACATAGGCATGTGCCAAATCAGTTGAGAAGAAAGTTGGATGATAAGTCGAGTTAGATGATCTTGGTGGGATATCACTCGACTGGTGGATACAAACTCTTCCATCCAGTGAACAAGCAAGTCGTGATTATCATGGATTTGATTGTAGATGAGCTTAAGGAGTGATATTAGATTGAGAACATCAAGAAGGATTAAGTGAGAATCCTATGTGATGAACCAACTAGTGAAGTTGTTAGAGAAGTTTGAGAAGAAGCTATTGAAGGTCAAGCTAGCACAAGAAGACCTCAGAGAACCAGAATCATGTCTGCAAGACTGCAGGAATTTCTAATCCCATCAGATGATTGTCGATGATGAAGTTGAGTTAGTACATTATGGCTTCTATGTAGATACAGGGCCAATCGATGCAGCTGAAGCATTGAAAGATTCAAGGTGAATGAAAGTTATGGTGGATAAGATAAAATTCATAGAAGACAATGATACCTAAACACTAGTCGAATTTCCAAAGGGAAGAAGGCAATTGATGTGAAATGGGTATACAAAGTCAAGTTGAATCCAAAAGGTGAAGTAACTCGACACAAGGAAAGACTTGTAGAAATGGGTTTCTTCAAAAAGAAGGAATAAACTATGATGAAGTCTTTGCACCAGTAGCTAGAATTGAAATAATCAGGTTGGTTGCTGGTCTAGCCAATATAAATAATTGGTCGATGTGTCAGATGGACGTGAATGTGCATTCTTGAATGACCCTCTAGACAAAGAAGTGTATGTAACACAAACAGTTGGGTTTATGAAACATGTCTAAGAAACAAAAGTATACAGACTGCATAAAGCCTTGTATGGACTGAAATAAGATCCAAGATCTTGGAACAATAAAATAGGCGACTTTCTAAGAGAGAAAGAGTTTGAGAAGTGAACGACAAAGCATCGTGCAGGAGAAGCAAGAGTGAGCTGCTTATACTGTGTCTTTTATGTCCAATGACCTACTGATAACAAGCAGTTGCAAGAAGGAGATCGAAAATTTCAAACATGACTTAAGTAAGGAGTTTGAAATATCATACTTGGGGAATCTCTTATACTTCCTTGGTATCAAATTCTTCAAGATTAGTAGAGGCTTGATGATGCACTAAAGAAGATATGCAAGTGAAATACTCAAGAGATTTGAGATGCAATATTGCATCCCAACTTCGACTCCATCTAAAGCCAGATTGCAACTGATAAAAGACTCGACTGAAGATGATGTCCATCCAACATAGTACAGAAGGCTCATTGGACCACTTAGACACCTCTGTCAAACAAGGTCGGATTTAACCTATTGTGTAGGCATGGTCAGCAGGTTCACGCAGAAGCCGAATGTATCCCATCATGCAGCCACTAAGAGGATACTAAGGTATCTCAAATGTACACTCGACTATGGTATTTTGTTTCTTTCAATCGATGAAGGAAAAGAATGCAAACTTGTGGGTTACACCGAGTCTAGTTGGTGTGGTGATGCTAAAGATAGAAAATCAAAAGCAAGATATGTGTTCATGTTAGGTGGTGCACCAGTTGCATGGAGTTCGAGAAAGGAACCAATGAAATCTTTATCATTATGTGAGACTGAATACATAGCAGTTTCACTATATGCATGTCAAGCAACATGGATGATGAATCTAGTTGAAGAAATTAAGGGAAGAATCATGGAGCAATGACCATGAAGACTGACATCATGACAGCTATCAACCAGAAAAAGAATTAGAAAGTACACGGAAGAAGAAAACACATTGAGATGAGGTTCCATCACCTGAGAGAGCATGTAGAAAATGAAAAGTTAAGCCTGAGGCATTGCAAATCAAAGAATCAGATTGCAAATATAATGACGAAGGTTGTGCAGGTCAAATTGTTCAAGAGATTAAGAACAATGATGAATGTAGATAACTTAAACACAATGAATTAGGTGGTGTGTTAAATATGTAATTCTTTGTGTCGAAATAGTATGCGTTTGACAAAAGTCGAACAAAATCTGTATTAACAATATTTGACAGAAAGTTAAATTCAGCGTGTAAAAGCATGTAGCTGTTGAAGGAGTAAAACTCGATAGAGTTGAATAAACTTAGCTTAATTTTAGTTGAGTCAGTTGTTTTAGTGATTACTTGGAGTGCAAGTAATCTCATCTATAAATAGAGAGGAACTTTATTTCATTTGTAAAAAGTTTGAAAGAAATTTTGTAGTAACATTGTGTAGCTTTAAAAAATCACAGTTGTGATTAACACACATTGTAACAAACACTTAGAATGTGTAGTTGGCATAGAAATACAATTTTCTTCTTCCTACAAAATTTCTCTTTTTTCTCATTTTCAATTGTCTCGTTTTCTTCTTTCAATTTTCTGTTTACTGTAGGGACATCTTGCAACCAATGAATGGTTGTTTCACCTTAGTAAATGGTGAAGAACAAGACGCGTGATCAATCAAAAATATTGATTTGGTTAATTTCAAGATTAGAATTTTTCCAACATAATATATATATATATATATATATATATATATATATATATATATATATATATATATATATATATATATATATATATATATATATATATATATATATATATATATATATATATATATATATATATATATATATATATATATATATATATATATATATATATATATATATATATATATATATATATATATTTCCTTCATTTTTTTTATTAGAAAGAAAATTTCTCTTACGAGTAAGTTTGTCAAGTAAGACTAACGATGGAAATACGGTAGATTTGTCTATAAGGTAGCCTATTAAAACTTGAGATGATATGACCTATTTAATAAGGTCGGGTGTAGGCTTTTTTAATAGTTTACTAAATTAAATAGCTTAGATTTAGACTATTAAAATAATTTATGAAATATATATATATATATATATATATATATATAAAAGATTTATTTTTTATTTTATATATATAAAATAAAAAATAAATCATATAATTAAGGGCTACTAACAACCTAACATAATACTTTTATGTATTGCATATCATCTGCAGTGTATTAATACAATTGTTAATGAATCATATCTAATCAATATTGTTTTATATAATGAAGGTGAAAAGCCAGAGAACATTCCAGGAATTTCTTCACTTCACATGGAAGATCTTCTAACTGTTCTTCGCAAAACTGATGAGCGGGCAATGCAGCTTGCATTGGAATGCATATCTGCGGCGTCCAAAGCAAGTTATCTTCTGTTCACCACAGTTCAAGAATTTGAGGTCGAAACAATTGATACCCTTAAAGATATATTCTCCTTTCCCGTCTATCCTATTGGTCCTGCAATACCCTATTTGGAACTCGAAGAAAATAATTCCGGAAACACACATAATCGTCATGACTACATAAAATGGCTAGATTCTCAACCAGATGAATCAGTATTATACATTTCTTTTGGCAGTTTATTTTCGGTATCCAATGCCCAAATGGACGAAATTGTTGAAGCGCTAAACAATACTGGAATTCGATACCTGTATGTTGCTCGGGGCGAAACATCTCGATTAAAAGACAAGTGTGGAGATAAAGGGATGGCGATACCATGGTGTGATCAACTAAGGGTATTGTCACATTCTTCTATAGGTGGATTTTGGACCCATTGTGGATGGAATTCAACTTTGGAAACTGTTTTTGCTGGTGTACCAATTTTGACATTTCCACTTTTCTTGGATCAATTTCCTAATAGTAGTCAAATTGTTGATGAATGGAAAAATGGGTGGAAGATAGCGGTATTACCATCATCAGAGAGTGAAGTGATTCTAGAAAAAGAAGAGATAGAAGTGCTTGTTAAGAGTTTTATGGATCTTGAATGCGAAGAGGGAAAGAAAATTAGAGATAGAGCAAGAGAACTTAAGGTTATGTTTCATAAAGCTATTGGCAAAGGTGGATCTTCAGATAAGAACCTCGACGCATTTTTCAATGACATTTCATTTCAAGGTCTCTAATACTATTGTAAACTAATGCAAGTGGTTGATGTGCAAAGTGTGAAATTAAAATCTGTATAACATGTTCAAGGTTGCTGATGTAGTGATGTGTTAAGTAGGTTTGGTTCAGTTACACAAATAAGCAATGAATTAATGGAGTAATGGATATTGTAATTGAATGGAAGGATGTATTTAGATTAGTAACATTGTAAAATGTCATAGAAGTGTAATTGAAATACTTTTTTTATAGATGAATTGGTAGTTGTTTCTCAAGAAATTTGACCATATAATTTGCTACATTATCTATATTTACTCATTAATATTGAATAAAAGGATTTATTTTCCTTCTTTTCGAAGGATTGAATTACACAATTGATAAAGATAATGTTTTGAATGACATAAACACTGAAATATATTGAATCCAACTTAACTTGTACATATATTAGAAAAGTAGGATAATTAGAGTTAGCTATCAATATTGTTGGTATTAGTTACTATATTACTTTTTGTGATATAAAGTTGGTTGTGGGCTGTATTATTTTGAAACGTGTAAATTTAAAAATAATTATACAATTTTAATTGTATTAAATAATCATGTAAAAAGAAAAAAAGACTCGTGAGATGAAGAAAAAAAAAAAGAAATTTTGATATGATAATAATGACTTGTGAGATAAACAAATTATTTGATACGATATAAAATATATTTATATTCAAATGCAAAATTTAAAATGATATACTTAATTTTAAATTGAACAATAATCATATAAATTAAATTGTATTAAATAATTATAGAAAAAAAAGAAGAAACAATAATCTTAAATTGTATTAAATTAAATTAAGATAATAATTTATTGAAATAAAATAGATATTATGTTGATAGTGACGCGTGAGATAAATAAATTTTTATTTTTTTTAAAATTATAAAAATAGATTAGTAGTATTTTTAGTGCTAATAAATAAATAGAGAAAAAAATTAAAATAAAAGTGAGAAAGTGTGAGAAAAAAATCTGAGGGAGATTTAAAATTTGAATGAAAAGTGTTCTGGACTGGGCCCAGGCCTGCCCATCTGCCGGGCAGGCCCAGCCCAATGCTATTTGGGAAAGACCCAACAAAGCTTAAATCCCTAGTGTCGGCCACGAGTCTAGGCACACTGGGCAAGCTTCTTCCCCCCTCCCCCGTCGGGCAGAACAACACGTCTTTCACATGTTTTCAATGTGATCCCTCCGCGGGGACACGTCATCAGCCAACTACCCACATTCGAAAGAGCTGGTCAATCCACCTTCCGGAGATCTCGGGACGGTTGAACTAGGGCGAAGACCACGTGCTGGTCTTCACTATGCCACGTAAGCCTTAACAGTCACCTGGGTTGGGCCTGGCAATCCAGCCCAACACAAGTGACCGTTGGCCCTGCGCTGGGGTCTCTCTATAAATATCTTCTTTCACTAGAGGGTCAGATATTCAATTCGGTATTTCTCTTCTGTATTTGCTCTCACTCTGGTCCATTACTTACTTTGGCATCAAAGTGTCTTGTAGGTACACCCCCTCCTCCTCCCTACTTACGGTGAACAACCTTCAGATCGACGACGCGTGGCAAGTCACTGATTCCCTTCTAATCAGGTAAGATTAGTGGCCCCGTCTGTGGCAACCTAAGTTTCCCCGTTCCTCTGAGAAGAAGAACCAAAGCTCCCGATTTCAAATTCCAAGATCATGACTAGCCCACGTCACGATGACGCTGTCCATAACTCCGCCCTCGTCCCAATCACCAACGGCGACGACCAGGCAGGGCCATCCCACACCCGTGAGGACGACACCAGGGACAGCCAGGCCGCCTCTCCCTCATCCGAGGACGCGACATATCACGTCGCACCCTTGGGCAAGGAGTCCGGATTGAAGGTGAGAAAATACTTAGAAGGGGGGTTGAATAAGTATGGAGATAAAAATTTAGAAGTAAAAACTCAAGTATTTTTATCCTGGTTCGTTGAACTCAACTACTCCAGTCCATCCTACCTAGAGTGATTTTCCTTTCTCAAACAAGGACTTAATCCACTATTTAATCAACTGATTACAATAGTAAGCACTAAGAACAACTGTTCAAAGTCTTCTTAAGAACTTCTGATCCCAACTGGATCTTCTTAAGGAACTATTACAATAAAATGTAAGATCAATACAAGTGTATGAATGCTTCTAACAAGCTTTATCACAACAATGATATTTCACTTAATGTTAAGAACAAAAGAATAAACTCAGCAATAAGAATATTTTATGAGAGCTTGTAAGAGTTTCTTTTTGAGATTCGTTGGTTGTTGATCACTCCTGAAGAAGATGATGAAGACTTGCTTTTATATGCACAGTAGTCCATAAAGTCTTGACATTGGAGGCTGTGTACTGAAAAGGCCTAAACCTTTTTGTCTTTACATCACATGACTTTTCATGGAAGTAGAATGCACAGAGAAATGCTTTTGGTCTGTGTTCTAGTGTCAAGCATGAAAGAGGAAAGATTCGTTGAGCTAAATCAAAGGATATTACTTTGAATTCTTCTTCAACAAGTATTTCTTTTCAGCAAAGTTGATCATCAGATTTTGCATGATCAGAGTCTTGGATACCCATCAGATTTTGCTGAATCAGAGTAAGGCAGCAAGTGTGTTTTAGCGTGTAGTTCTATCAGAGCAGAGTTTTATGAATCAGATCCTTAGTACATGCAGCGTGTAGTACTCTCAGAGTCTTCTGAAAAACTGTGCTTCTTAACTCTCATACAAAGTTCTTCAATGCTTCAGAGTCTTTAGAACTTATTAGAGTCTTCTGCTTCAGATTCTTCTGCAACTCCTGCTTTAGATTCTTCTATAGCTTCTGCTTCAGATTCTTCTGTAGCTTCTGCTTCAGATCCTTCTGCAGACAACGCTCAGATTCTTCTATAAGATGCTTCTGACTCTTCAGAGCCTTCCATTGTTCCATGTTTAGATTAATTTGCTCTTGGAAGTATATATACTTTAATTATCTGCAGCAAATATTCATGAACCAATTTTGGAGTATATAATTCTTTAATACAAAATTTCATAAGAGTTATCATCAAAACATAGAGATATTACTAAGAAACAATCTGTGTTCTTACACGTATGTCTTCCAGCCCGCTCCTAAGTCAGCTGGAGCGGACCCAATGATGACTGCCCTCTGTGCAGCCATCAACCAAACAAACCTGATGCTGTTCCAGCAGAATGAGCGCATCGGCGCACTGGATCAGGATACCTCGTCTTGCTCTCCCCCGCGAAGAAATCAACGTGGAAACTCCCGGAGCCCCTCTCCCCATCCACGGGGGCGCCAGCCACAACTGGAGACGCCCTAACCTGTGGCCTCCAAGAAACGCGTCAGGTCACCTCCCCAGAAGAAGAGGAGTTCCCTGGAGCCAAGAGCGAACAGACCTAAATCCCCGGGCAGAAGACCGAGGGGACATAATCAACCCCCTCGACACAACCCGTCGCCTTCACGCTCCCCTGCCCGCAGTGATGAAGACGACTATAGGACCCCCCTGTCACGGGAAATCATGGCAACCCCCATCCCCCACGGGATGGAGAAATCGCCCGTACTCTCCACGTATGACGGTACCTCGGACCCGGACAATCACCTAGAAGACATCTAGGTCATGCTCGACTACAGGAACGTCCAGGGAGCCATCAAGTGCAGGATCTTCTCGACGACGCTGAGGAAAGGGGCCATGGCTTGGTACAAAAGCCTGGAACTTGAGTCTGTCACGTCATGAAAGGTCCTAAAGGATATTTTTTCACAATATTTCACGACATCGCGATGACATCCGAAGACGAAGGCCGCCCTGGGCGCAATCATCCAGGCCCCGGATGAACCGCTCAGAAACTACATTGAGAGGTTCACGAGGGAGGCAGTACAGGTGACGACTTCGAATGATATGAAATGCTACCTTATGAAGCAAGGCCTACGTCGCGGCTCCAAATTCTACGAGGCCGTGGCCATCCACCGACCGACCACCCTTCAAGGCTTCCTCGGGAAAGCCCGCCACTACATTCGGTACGAGGAAACCGAGGCCACTAATGCTGCCCGGTAGTCCCGCAACCGCGAAACCCCCCGCGGGTCTCGAGAAGAAGAAGTGTCAGCCCCCCAGCGTGGGGGAGATCGACGACGAGACGATCATCCCAGAGAGCCCCGTGAGTAGAGGGGCCCCGCAGGCCGCTTCATCAAATACACCGCCCTAGTCGCTTCCCGCGAGCGCATAGTAACTGAGTTCACCAACTCGGAGTTTTTCTGGGGAGGTGTCTGTTTTCCTAAACCGGCACCCCCAAGGCCAACATGGATAAGTCCCAATACTGCCGTTTTCACCGGGACCACGGGCACGTGACGGAGGATTGCATCCACCTGAAGAACGCAATCGAAATACTCATCAAGGATGGATACTTGAAGAGATACACCAAGGGAGGAGATGCCCCCCGACAAGAGGCCCCCAAAGCCAAAATATTCGACGATATCCCTCCTCCCGACAACGAATTCGGGTTATAGGTGGCCCTCAGTGTTAGTCGTCATGAAGACTGGTTTTCGCTAAGAGAACACGGTCTCCCTACCGGGCATTAGCTGTCCGAGGAACCAGTGCGCCCCGTCAGCTTGTGGGAATACTTCCCCAGGGCGATGGTCATCTCAGGCGGGGCCCCGAACAAGCTCTCCATGGGGTCAGTAAAAAGGAAGTTTGACGAGCTGATGAACAACAGCTCCGGTAAATGATCGCGACTTTCTATGTCTAATACAACTAACTGCAAGTGCACAGTCTATCGCGTAGTAATAATAGATATCGATCCCACAGGGACTCGTAATCAAACTAGTGTTCTCGGGAGTTACTGTGTTTAGCTAGGTAGAATATGTTTAAGGGGATAAGATTGTCACTAAAAAGGGAACTAAGATTACTATTTAGATTTTAATTAATTGAATCGATACGTAGTAGTTGTGTTCTTCAGGGATTTGATAAATTACTGGCGTATGAAATAGTTTTCACAGTTTATTTAAGT